TCAATTAAACCTAGGTATTTAATTAAACCTAAGCTCTGATACCACTCAATCTGGAGGTGCTTAATTTAATCCTAAGCTCTTAATTTAAACCTAAGCTCTAATACCACTAAATCTGTCACGCCCCAGAACCCGAATCCGGGGACATGGCAAACGCCGTACACTTGTGAAAAGGTCCCACAAATGCACAAGGCTCGGAACTTATCATACCATACTCTAATGCCACAAAATCTGAAGATAAAAATTTAAAATTTGCTCTGATATCATAAAATCTCCAAATAAAGTCTAGCTTACAAAATCATGATTTATATTTAAGATCTATGTTCAATTTACAAGATGGCTAGCCTTCTAACTTATCACTCCCCTCGTTTTTCGCCGTCCTTAACTTTGCTTCCTGAAATGATGGATAAGGAAAAACTAGGAGATAACTCAGTAAGTAAATATGGATAGCCTTTAATTAAACTTATAGCATGCCAACAAGTATAACCACGAACAAATAGGTATGAGTACGAAAATGAAATAGACGTCTCTTCTATAGGTCATGGCTAGTGTTATAAACCTCCCACTGGCAGGCACACAATTTACTACTATATAATCCCATTAGCAGGATTACAGAAATACCAGTGTTTAACAACTCCCACTGGCAGGAGGAATCGGCTCTACAAAAATACATGTCGACATGTGCTAGCATTTATAAACCTCCCACTAGCGAGCACACAAATAACATGACCATATCGGAGACAAAACCAAGCAAGATTTACAGAAAAATCCATGATTCACAATCACTCTCAATTTCAAGAATAAACCGGAAAATGTCCATGTGGGCATGGATTTAATAGAAAAATCAGAGTTTACAAAATTCTCAGTTCATCAAGGCAGTTAAGTAAATTCCAAGTAGGCATGCTCAGTTCAATAAAAGAATATAATTTCATTTCAAATTGATTATACTTGTGTAAAACGGGTTTAGTCCAGCTACCACTTCAAAAACAAGCTAAAATGTGCTTTAAAATCGAAGGGCGTTACCATAATTTACTTACCTCAAATCATGTAAAACAGACGACTCGACCCAAGTGCTAGGGCAACCAATGATCAAGAACCTAACCAAAACATTCCAAGAATTAATAACCATAATACCACAAATCTAAAAGAAATCACCACGACTACCCCCTAATCATTACGCCATTTATATCAACATGTATAACTCACGTACTTCACGAGATTTTCTACTCTGAATAATTGAAATTCAATGTATGAATAGTAACTACCCGTGAACAGTATCATGAACAGTAATTATGCAGTGAACAGTAACTGCAACTTCCAGAAATTGGCAAAACCATAGTTAATCTCATGGGATTTTTCTCCAAAATTTCACAGCAGTCAATTAACACTCAATCACATAAATTCCACTTGAATTAATGCTTAAAATTTATCCAAAAGCTACCAAAATTATCCCCTAATTATTGCAAAATTTCGGATAGCATAGGCAACAATTTAAATGGATAATTTAGACTTAAATGGAGCTATCACATACCAGGAATTTTTAGCAAACAAACCAGAGTTGCAGATTGGGGAGGGCCGACGAGAAGTGCAGGGAGAAATTCAGGATCTACCCAAAAATTGGAGAAACCAAGGGAAATTAGAGTAAACCCAAGCCAATTCAAGGAAGAAAAAAGGAATTAGTGGCTGTTCTTACCAGAAATTTGAAGAATTCACACCCACACAATGAAGAGCAGCAGAGGGAAGTAACAAAGCAGAGTAGATCCGAAATTTCTCTGCAGGGGGGAGGTTTCAAGGCTCCAAATCTTGTTCTTCAAAAAGAAAAGAAGAGAAAAATCCAAGCTTTAACCAATTTTTCTTCAAGTGGAGGTGCATCGGGCTTGGCTAGGTTCTTGCTCGGCTACAGGGGAGAAGAAGAGCAGAAACGCACGGATAAGGGAGAAGAAAGAAGGAAACAATAGCTAATCCTTATCCTAATTCTTTCATCTTTTAAGTCCCTCAAGTTTTGAAATATTCACTATTAGGCCCCAAACAATATTTTTCTCAAAATAAGTCCCTAACTTAAATGATAAAATTCTCGAAAATTTTGGATATTACATGACTAGTCAATTTTTGGTAATTGAAAGCTAGATATTAACCGAGTTTTTAGATTTAAGTTATGTAAATTGGTAATTATGAACACAATAGGTTCCAAGCCTTGTGCATTTGTGGGACCCGTTCACGAGTGCACGGCGTCTGTTTCGCTCCTGGTTTTGGGCCGTGACAGATTTTGTGGTATTAGAGCCTAGGTTTAAATTAAATACCTAGGATTTGTTTAGAACTTGGCTAGCCAATGGATTATAGAAACGTGGTGAGGCATGAAAGTGGGGTTGATTAAGGGCACTTGTTTGATTCTTTGTTTAATGTGTGTTGGATTTTAATTATTAGGCTTTGGACCCAAAAGTGGAAACTTGCCGGGAAACTCTAATTTGGGGCACTTGATTAATAGTCTATGAACCTTTTATGTGGTTATATATGGCTCCAAAACGGCGTGGGTGCCCGAGGGGTGGCCATAAGGATCAGGGCACTCCTCTAATCCCAGCTGCTAGCCCTTCTGCACAAGCTACTCCTCAGGAGGGCGGGATGAGTAACCCTTAAATGGCCACTTTTGTTCAGGAATTTATGGCGGAGATGAGATGCCAAGCATCTTCTACCACGAGTGTGCCACCTCCATCCTTAGTGGTTTCCACTCTTACGGCCCACTGCTCCTATTTCTCCTGCTCCTATATCTTCTGCTCTTGCTTTGCCTAGCTGGAAGATCTATATAGAATTCCAGAAGGTGGTGACCAAGAAATTTGATGGTACCGCGGGTTTTGAGCAGGTGGGGTCATGGACTACCGAGGTGGAGAAGGAATTTCGCCTACTGAAGATTTCTGATGACCTTATGGTCGATGTGGGCAGTTATATGCTTACAGGTGAAGCATTGACTTGGTGGGAGAGATACTTGAAGCTACACCAAGGAGAGCCTGAATTGAGCACCTAGGATGGTTTTAAAAAGGTGTTCATGCAAGAATACATACCCGACAGCAAAAGGCGTGAGCTGCAAAGGGAATTTGAAGATCTTAAACAAGGGTCACGTACTATTGAGTAGTACAAGAAGGAGTTTGACCGCTATTTGCCTTTTGTGGGTAGTCAAGTTGGGGATGAGCAAGCCAAAGCTGATAGATTTTCATGGGACTTGAATCTTGACATTTACTTGGCAGTGAATCAATTCAAACCCGCCACTTATAAAGAGGCGACGGACAAAGTCATAAATCAGGAGAAGGCTATGGCTAGAGTCTAGACACCATATCTGCAAAAAGTTGGGTCATCCCTTAGGAAGAGAAATTTTGGTGGGAGCAGTAGACCCTTTATCTCTGCACCGCTTAAGTTTGATACTGGCAAGGGTTCTAAACAATTAAGGGTTACCAAGACTATGGGTCAGGCATCAGCAGCCCAGCGTACTCATCCTGCTCCACCTATTTGCCACATTTATGGAAGAGTTGGGCACACTCACGACCAGTGTGACATTACTACTGGGGTTTGCTTCAGATGTGGCAAGCATGGACATCGGTTTGCTAATTACTCGCAACCGGACCCTAGAGCTCAGAGTACTCAATCTATATCTCAGCAGGGTTCTACTAATTAGGGGGCACAGAAACAAAATGCCAGGGTTAGGATAGGAGCCCAGCAAGCGAGAGTGCATGTAATGACTCATAAGGAAGCTGCGGCTACCAACGTAATCATGGGTACTTTACCTGTCAATTATGATTATGCACATGTTTTATTTGATTCAGGTGCATCACACTCTTTTATAGCTTCATCTTATGCTTTCAAACGAGCCTTACCTATTGATACCTCCGATTTTGAACTGCATGTGGACACCTCTTTAGGAGGGGTGATAACTACTAGAGATGTGTGTAGGACTATAGATATTTATATTAATGGTAGAAAATTGAGTGCTAGCCTGTTTGTTTTAGATATCTCTGATTTTGACATCATTTTAGGGATGAATTAGCTGTCAAAATATTTTTCCTACATAGGCTGCAACTGTAAATGGGTAATTTTTAATATTCCTGGGGAGCTAGAATTTAGTTTCCAAGGCAGTGGGTCCTTTGCTCCACCCATGCTGATATCGGCCTTGTAGGCTCAGAAATATCTTATAAATCGTTGCCAGGGTTTCTTAGTTTCTGTCACTGATACTAGTAGTGTGATGTTGAGACTAGAAGACATCCCTGTGCTGTGTGAGTTTTCGGACGTATTTTTGGAGGATCTCCCAAGTTTACCTCCAAATAGGAAGATTGAATTTGCTATTGATCTTGTTCTTGGCACTGGACCTATTTCCAAAGCCCCGTACCGTATGGGTTTTGCAGAGTTGAAGGAGTTAAAGGTCCAGCTTGAGGAACTCCTTGAGAAAGGGTTTATATGACCTAGTGTGTCACCTTGGGGAGCTCTAGTGTTGTTTGTTAAAAAGAAAGATGGGAGCATGAGATTGTGCATAGATTACCGAGAATTGAATAAGGTGACTGTGAAGAACCGATATCCACTTCCTAGAATTGATGACTTGTTTGATCAGCTTAAGGGTGCCCAAGTGTTTTCTAAGATTGATCTCCGATTTGGCTACCATTAGTTGAAGATTAAACTTGATGATGTGTCAAAGACTACCTTCCGTACCCACTATGGTCACTATGAATTCCTGGTTATACCTTTTGGCTTAACAAATGCCCCTACAAGTGTGTGGTTGTCTTTATTGATGACATTTTGATTTACTCTTCTAGTCATGCTTTTCATGAAAAGCACTTAAGGACAGTTCTTTAGACATTGAGAAGTGAGAGGCTGTTTGTTAAATTTAAGAAGTGTGAATTTTGGCTAGATAATGTTGCATTCCTAGGTCACGTTGTGACTAAGGATGGAATCTCCGTTGACCCCCAGAAGATTGAGGCCGTGGTGGATTGGAAAAAGGTCGAATAGTGTTGCAGAAGTCCGTAGTTTTCTAGGATTGGCTGGTTATTATCGTCGATTTGTGGGGGATTTCTCTAGAATTGTTCTGCCAATGACCCGTCTGATCAGGAAAGACACCAAATTTGAGTGGACTCTAGAGTGTGAAAAGAGCTTTTTGACCCTTAAAGAGAAACTAGTCACTGCTCCTATACTCCCACTTCCCATCAATGGGGAAGGATTCACTATATACAGTGATGCCTCTAAAAAGAGTTTGGGATGTGTATTGATGGAGAAAGATAAGGTTATTGCATATGCTTCATGGCAGTTAAAGCCTTATGAAGAAAATTACCCTACCCATGATCTGGAGTTGGCAGTTATGATATTTGCACTCAAGATTTAGAGGCATTATCTATACCATGAGACTTGTGAAATTTTCACCAATCACAAGAGTCTCAAGTACATTTTCACTCAAAAGGAGCTTAACATGAGGCAGAGGCGATGGTTAGAACTTTTGAAAGATTATGACTTGACCATTAGCTACCATCCAGGCAAAGCCAACAAAGTAGCAGATGCGTTGAGTAAGAAGTCCTCTGGCATTGCCTCTAGCATCCTTACCACCAAGAAAGAGTTACTTGAGGATCTTGTGAAACTAGATGTGGAGTTGAGAGTGGATAGTACTACAGCTTATCTAGTTGCTCTCAGTGCACAACCGGCATTAATTGATAGAATTAAAGTTGCCTAACAAAAGGATCCTTTCTTGCAAAGATTGAGGGAAAAAGTAAAGACGGGGGAACCCCACATGCAAGAATTCAGAGTTTCTAACAATGAGACTCTGTGGTTTGGTGACAAGCTGTGTGTACCAAGAGATCATGTTTTAAGGCGTGAGATTATGGGAGATGCCCATAATACTAGTTACACAGTTCACTCGGATAGCACCAAGATGTATCGTGACTTGCGTAGTACATTTTGGTGGCGAAATATGAAGAGGGAGATAGCTAGATTTGTCTTACAATGCCTAACTTGCCAAAAAGTCAAGGCTGAACACCAAAGACTTCTTGGGAAGTTGTAGCCGTTACCTATTCCCCAATGGAAGTGGGAGAATATCACCATGGACTTTGTGACGAGTTTACCACAAACCTTAAAGGGAAATGATTCCATTTGGGTCATCGTTGATTGATTGACCAAGTCAGCACATTTCTTACCTTACCAGACTGGCACATCCATTAAGAAGCTTGCCAATATGTACGTGAATGAGATAGTCAGGCTGCATGGAGTCCCTGTGTCTATTGTGTCAAATAGAGATATAAGATTCTTAGCTCATTTTTGGACAAGCTTGCAGCAAGCACTCGGTACTCAATTAAATTTCAGCACAGCCTTCCATCCTCAAACTGACGGGCAATCTGAGAGAACTATTCAGATACTTGAGGACATGTTGAGGGCTTGCGTTTTAGATTGGAAGGGTTCATGGGATCAGCACTTATCCATGGCTAAATTTACCTATAATAATAGTTACCAGTCCAGCATCCGCATGGCACTGTTTGAGGCTTTGTATGGTCGAAGGTGTAGATCACTTATTTGTTGGGCAAAGGTAGGCGAGAGAAGCATTCTAGGCCCAGAATTGGTGCAACAGTCTTATGAGATTGTGCAATTGATCAAGGAACGCCTTCTTGCTGCATAGAGTAGGCAGAAAAGTTATGCGGATAGAAGGAGACGAGACCTTGAGTTTGAAGTCGGTGACCATGTATTTTTGAAGGTGTCACCCACTCCAGGTGTCCTCAAGTTTGGCATCTGAGGAAAATTGAGTTCAAGGTATATTGGACCATATCCTATCTTGGAAAGGGTTGGCAAGGTAGCTTACCGATTAGAGTTGCCTGGAAATTTAGCGGATGTTCATGATGTGTTCCATGTGTCTTTACTTCGAAATTCTCGACCCGAGCCACATCATTGATCCTGAACCCATTCAGCTTCAAGAAGAATCTCACTTATGATGAGCACCCGATCCTATTTTGGATTTCAAGGAGAGGGTAATGCGGAGAAGGACTGTTTGTTTTGTTAAGGTCCTCTGGGATAACCATTCGGTTGAAAAAGCTACTTAGAAGTTGGAATCCAAGATGAGGCAGGAACATCTGCACCTCTTCCAAGATTGAGGTATGAGTTTAGGGAACTAAACTTCTTTTTAGGAGGGATGGATGTAATATCCCAAAAATTTCTAGAACAATTAAGTGTGAGCTAGGGACCTAATTGTGAGAAAATAATATTGTTAAGGTTAACCATAAAATTTTCAAATTTGAGGGACTTAAAAGAGAAAAGAATTAGGATAAGGATCGGCTGATTTTTTTTCTTCTTTCTTTCTTCCTCAGCCACGCATTTCTGCTCTTCTTCTTTTCCCCTGTAGCTGAACAACAAGCCCAAGCCACCAACAACACCCACCCTCTTGAGGAACGGTAAAAGCTTGATTTTTCCCTTCTTTTCTTGTTCAAGAACAAGATTTAGAACTTAGAAATCTTCCCCCTATAGAAAAATTTTAGATCTGCTTTGTTCCTTCCCCTCTGTCCACTGCTCTTGGCTGTGTGGGTGTGAATTTTTCAGGTTTCTGGTAAGGAAACAACCACTAATTCCTCTTTTCTCCCTTGATTTGGCTTGGGTTTACTCTAATTTCTTTTGGTTTCTCCCAATTTCTAGTAGATCCCCTAAATTCTTCTTCAATTTCTGTCGGCTTCCCCAACCTGTCAGCTCCGATTTTGCTTGCTAAATTTTCTAGTATGTGATAGCTCCCTCTAAGTCCAAAATTACCCATTAGTTGCTAAGTTTATCCATTAATTGCCGCCCTTGTGTTGTCTGAATTTCTACTGAAATAGGGGATGAATTCCGATAGCAATTAGAACAAAATTTAAGTTTAATTCATGTAGAATTTATGTGATTGGGTATTAATTGACTACTGTGAGGTTCTAGAGAAAAAGCCCATGAATTAGCTATTGTTTTGCCAAAGCCGGTTCCTCCATGTTGTCCGTGAATTTGAAGAATTTTGTATATGTGTGTTTATGTACATATATATAAATGCACAATCTGATTTTTGTGCTCAAATTTCGAATAGAAGAAATAAGGATAAATAAATAAATAAATGAGATTTCTTTATGGGATTAATGGCCGGCAACAATAGGAAGGTTTATACGTTTAGTTTATATTGAGTATAAAATTGAGATGTCCGGTCATATGGTTATTAATTCTGGAATATTTTGGTTAGGTTCTTGATTATTCTGTCACCCTAGCACTTGGAGTGAGTTTTCTGTATTATGCGATTGAGGTAAGTAAATTATGGTAACGCCCTTCGATTGCAAAGTAAAAGCATATTTTAAATTGTTTTTAAGATGGTGGCAATGTTTAAATTGATTTTATTAACACCTGAGCATGATTAGAATGGAAATGAAAATTTTTATTATTTTTGGGGTTGAGCATGCCCACATGGAATTTTTCCGGTTTATTCTTGAAATTTGAGATTAATTGTGAATTACAGATTTTTCCTACAAATCCTACATGGTTTTGTCTCTAATATAGTCATGATTACTGATGGCTGCTAGTGGGAGTTTGCAAACGCTAGCACATGTCGACTTATATACCGATAGGACCAGTTCATTCTGTAATCCTTCCAATGGGATAATACATTGGTTATTACTGACGCCTGCCGGTGGGATTTTGTTAAACACTGTCCATGACTTATAGATGAGACTACTACTGAATCTTATTCTGTATTAACGGTTTATCATTGAATGCTTTGTTGTGTTAAATTGTTTATCAGGCATGCTTAAATTTTACTCACAGGCTATCCATATTTTTACTTACTGAGATATCTTATCTCATAGTTTTCTTTATCCACCATTTCAGGAAGTGAGACCCGAAGCCACGGTTAACTAGGGGGAGTGACGTGCTAGAAGGCTAGTCAATATTGTGGACTTCGATCCTTTTTGGACTTAGGCCGTCAGCCACACATGCTTGAAATAGATGTGAAATGATAAATCATTTTTTTGTATATTGAGTTTCCCTTGGTTATAGCCATGATTGTCTTATAAACTTTTTTACATCTTGACTAGTGAATTTTTGGTAATTGAAAGCTAGATATTAACCGAGTTTTTAGATTTAAGTTATGTAAATTGATAATTATGAACACAATAGATTCCGAGCCTTGTGCATTTGTAGGACCCGTTCATGAGTGCATGGCATCTGTTTCGCTCCTGGTTTTGGGGCGTGACAGATATAGATAAAAATTTGTATAAGATCTAGACACAGCTCAAGGATCTGTAAGATACTATAATATTAGTCTATAGTAAGCATAATATTATAGATAGAAACAAAGGATTAAAATAATTCCTAAGATTTTCACTAAAAAGCCTAAATCAAAAGGAATAACACTTTTTATGTTAAAGACCCAAGGGAAAAAATTAAAATAACTTGAACAAAAGTTTTTAGAGGAAGAAAATGTATAAGAATTAGACAATCTATGCAAACAGAAGAAATTAAACAATTACTAAACATATCCTAATATAACCTACTAAACAATTAGAAAAGATGAAAATGAATACTCAAAAAGAAGAAATTAAAGAAGAAAGAGAAGAAGAAAAGGATGAAACATATCCTAATATAACCCCAACGGAATTTCCAGTGTAACCTTGTCACGCCCCAGAACCCAAATCCAGGGACGTGGTAGACGCCGTGCACTCATTAGACGAGTCCCACAAATACACAAGGCTCAGAACTTAATCAAATCACAATCTGATACCATCAAAATCTGAAGATCAAATTTTATAATTTGCTCTAATATCATAAATCTCCAAATACACTCTAACTTACAAGATCATGATTTATTTCTAGAATATATATCAATCTCAAAATGGCTAGCCTTCTAACTCCTCACTTCCCATGGTTTCCCTGTCCTTGGTTTCACTTCTTGAAATGGTGGACAAGGAAAGACTATGAGATAAACTCAATAAGTAAAGTATGGAGTGCCCCTTATTAAACTTATAACATGCCAACAAGTGCGATCATGAAAAACGGATTCAGTACGGGAACGAAATAGACGTCTCCTCTATCGATCATGGCCAATGTTATAAACCTTCCACTAGCAGGCACACTATTTGCTAGTGTATAACCCCCACTAGCAGGGTTGAACGAACCAGTTCTATCAATAACATGTCGACATGTGCTAGCGTTTAACCCCCACTAGCAGGATCATTAATAACATAACCACATCGGAGACAAAACAGGCAGAAGTTAACACAGAAAAATCATAATTCACCAATCACTTTCAAATCATCAGGACAATCAATTAAATTTCAAGTAGGCATGCTCAATTTAATGAAAAGCATAAAAATTTCACTTCAAATCAGTCATGCTCGTGTAAAACGGGTTTAGTCCCGCCACCACTTCAAAAACAAGTCAAAACATGTTTTTAAAAACTGTACAGGCATTACCATAAATTTACTTACCTCACTCGCATAAAACCGAAAACTCGATCTCAGTGCTAACTGACAGAACGATCGGGAACCTAATCAAAATATCCAAGAATTAATTCTATACTATCACAAATTCAAAGTGAAACTTCATTAAGATCACCCCTAATCACGATGCTATTTCTATCAGTCTCCACATTATCAGATATCTCCAAATTTGTTCTTATATCACAAACTAAACATTTCAATCCCCGTTAATTGTTGGCCATCAGTGCGTGAACAGTGACTGTGAACAGTGACTGTGAACAGTAATCACGCAATGAACAGTAACTACACTTCCAAAAGTTGGCCAAAACACTAGCTAATTCACGGGATTTTCTCTCCAAAAATCACAACAGCTAGCTCAAGCAATTACACATGAATTAAGCTTAATTATGCTCTAATAACTATCAAATTTCTCCCCTATTTTTCAACAGATTTTCGAACACACATAGGGTAGCAAATAACTGATAAAATTTCAAGCTTGGAGCTGTCAACATACCAGATTTTCCAGCTGCAAACAGGACCTAGCAGGGGGAAGAAGGCCGGCGGCAAGTGCAGGAGAAATTCAAGGGAAATCTACCAGAAATTGGAGAACCAAGAGAAATTAAGGCAAACCCAACTTAAATCAAAGCTAAAGAATGAAATCATGGCTGTTTCTTACCTAAAAATCAAGGCAATTCACCCCCACAAAGCAGGAGCAGCCGGCGGTGAGGAGCAGAGCAAGGCAGATCCGGAAACTTTCCTGCAAGGGGGAAGATTTCAAGGCTCCAATCTAGTTTTTGAACAAGAAAAGGAAGGCAAAACCAAGCTTTTCCTACCAGTTTCTCAAGGCTAGTGCCGAGTTCCCTTTTCGGGCTGCAATGGGAAGAAAGGAGAAGAAGAGCAGAATCAGGCAAGGCTGGGAAGAAGAAAAAAAATCCTCCGATCCTTATCCAAATTTATCCTTTTTTAAGTCCCTCAAGTTTTGGAATGTTGGCTATTAAGCCCAAAACAATATTTCTTTCTCAAACAAGTCCCTAACTCACTTATCTATCCTAGAAATTTTTGGGGTATCACATCCACCCCTCCTAAAAAGGAGCTTTGTCCCCAAAACTCAAATTGGGGATCATTTCGAGTGGTGAATGGCTTCACACAATTTGAGACAAAACAAATGCCTCACCAACTTTCTATGAACAAAACATAGCCTATTACGCTTCCGCTGCGCCACTCTAATATCAAACCAAACTAATCATAAAAGTAAAACACTAACTACTTAACAAAATTTACCATGAGATAAGCTACTAGAGGCTGGGGTGACATGTGAAGCACAAGGAATAGAAATAAATCCTGCCAAAGCCACAAAAGAACAATTATGGGGTTACGCTATGAACCCAACACAAGACGAGTTGGCAAAGAATGGCATGGATTTAAAGACGAGTACAACAAAATTTTGAACTCTATCAAAGACGAATAAGCATCCAATGGATATATGGATCATGAATGAATGAACAAGTGCATGGATGCCTTATAAATTTTGCCACAAAACAAGGTCAACCAATAAGCAAGGTCATGTTTAACAAAGCAACTGGAATCAAGAGACAGATTTTAGCAATTAACAAGAGTTAAAAGCTAGGACAATCAAAAGACATGTAAGAATCTCAAGAATTGCAACAGAATAAAATCAATGGAAAATATGAATGCTTGGAAGAATACTGAAACATAAGAGTGCAAGGTAGAATGCCTCAAAAAATTCAACAACAAAACGGCATTCACCAAGAATTAAGATCAAATTTAACCAAGTAGTCAAAATTAAGAGACAAGAGTTAACCATGAAACAAGTAATGGAATTCAAGGATTAGGCCCACAAAAGAGATTTCAATAATGACAACCATAACATGGATTCAAGAGCAAATATAACCAAGATGTCAAGATTTAACACCCCAAGTAACACGAATTAATTAATAGAACAAGCAATGGCTGGGATCAAGATGCTTAGAAGATTCATGTCTTCTAGTTAAAGGCCAAACAAGAATCTAAGCAGCCAGATAAAAGAACCATATCTCTTGGAACAAAACTCTAGGGCATCAGGTACTTCAAAGATTGCCCCTTCACCTCGTAGCCTATGGAGACTAAGCAGATTTACAATCAAGCCATCTTAGACATCCTAGAGTCAAATCAAAGCTGAGACATCAAGAATACAGAGATTAACATTTGCAAGAGACAAGAATTAGGATACCTCATATAGGTATCTTCCATTAATCATCACCCCTCCTAAAGAGGTGTCCATATGCACAAAATCAAAAACCAAGAAGGTCAACAGGTATACAGAAACAAGAACGAGCAAAATATGCAAGATTTGAGCAAGAGCAATACACAGAATTTGAGCAAGAACCAGTGTCAGAACAAGAACGTTTTCAAGGACAACTCAAACTAGATTCCAAAAACCAAATATCAATTGATTTTCAAGAATAGATTCCAAGAACAATATCAGTCGATTTTCAAGAGTAGAATTCCAACAAGAATTAATTTCAAGTAAGGTTTACGAACCGATTCCAAGCATAATGCCAGAAACAGTTTCAAGAACAAGTACAAATCAATCTCAAGAAAGATTCAAGGTAGATTTCAAGAGTTTCGAGCAGTTTCCAGGTATCAAGAATGTAGAGATTAGAAATAATAAAGAGTTTAACTTTATGACAACTTGCCAATCTTCACAAAAACATGGCAATTTCAACTGAATGATCACTGTTTTTGATTAACCAATATAGAAAAAATGAGCCACATGAACAGACCATGAAGCTCCAAATGGAAAAACTTAAATTTCACTATAAGACTTTCAGAAAGATAATGAGCAGCGAAATTACCAAGCTATCCAGCTCCTAAAATGCATCTAGAAAAACACACAACATTTGCTAAAATAACCTTGAATCTCTTACAATGCAAAGGGGTGCTCATATTCCACTGATCATGTGACAAACAGAATAACTTTCTCAACCAGCTATGCTATAGAGACCAACAGGATCAATAACAAAAGATCTCTGCAACTCCCCAGATTTTACAATAGTGGCAAAAGAGCATATAAAAATTCTATTCAAGTGACAAGTCTAAACAAGTGCAGACTATCAGAAAACGACCAAGTTTCAAAACAAGGTCTTAAGAACATGACGGACAAGATTAATTTCATGAATCTACACAGGGTATGAAGGCAGGAAACAAGAACAATCAGATTACCATCTCATCAAATGGATTAGAAAATTCAGGCAACATGAATCAAAATCGTCCCTTATATAACCCCATCACTCATCTCACCACGGTTCTAAAATCCATTGGCCAGTTAAGTTCTAAACAAATCCTAGGCATTCAATTAAACCTAGGTATTTAATTAAATCTAAGCTCCGATACCACTCAATTTGCTCTAATGCCACTCAATCTAGAGGTGCTTAATTTAATCAAAAGCTCTTAATTTCAACCTAAGTTCTGATACCACTAAATTTGTCACGCCCCAAAACCCAAATCCGAGGCGGGACAAACACCGTGCACTCGTGAGATGGGTCCCACAAATGCACAAGGCTCGGAACTTAATCAAATCACAATCTAATACCATCAAAATCTGAAGATCAAATTTTATAATTTGCTCTAATATCATAAATCTCCAAATACACTCTAGCTTACAAGATCATGATTTATTTCTAGAATCTATATCAATCTCGAAATGGCTAGCCTTCTAACTCACTTCCCGTGGTTTCCCTGTCCTCGGTTTCACTTACTGAAATGGTGGACAAGGAAAGACTATAAGATAAACTCAATAAGTAAAATATGGAGTGCCCCTTATTAAACTTATAGCATGCCAACAAGTGCAATCATGAAAAACGGATACAGTACAGGAACGAAATAGACGTCTCCTCTATAGGTCATGGCCAGTGTTATAAACCTCCCACTAGCAGGGTTGAACGAACCAATTCTATCAATAACATGTCGACATGTGCTAGCGTTTAACCCCCCACTAACAGGATCATTAATAACATAACCACATCGGAGACAAAACAGGCAAAAGTTAACAGAAAAATCATAATTCACCAATCACTTTCAAATCATCAGGACAATCAATTAAATTTCAAGTAGGCATGTTCAATTTAATGAAAAGCATAAAAATTTCACTTCAAATTAGTCATGCTTGTGTAAAACGGGTTTAGTCCCGCCACCACTTCAAAAACAAGTCAAAACATGTTTTTAAAAACTGTACGGGCATTACCATAAATTTACTTACCTAACTCGCATAAAACCGAAAACTCAATCTCAGTGTTAACTGATAGAACGATTGGGAACCTAATCAAAATATCCAAGAATTAATTCTATACTATCACAAATTCAAAGTGAAACTTCATTAAGATTACCCCTAATCACGATGCTATTTCTATCAGTCTTCACATTATCAGATGTCTCCAAATTTGTTCTTATATCACAAACTAAACATTTAAATCCCTGTTAATTGTTGGCCATCAGTGCGTGAACAGTGTCGGTGAACAGTAATCACGCAATGAATAGTAACTGCACTTCCAAAAGTTGGCCAAAACACTAGCTAATTCACGGGATTTTCTCTCCAAAAATCACAACAGCCAGCTCAAGCAATTACACATGAATTAAGCTTAATTATGCTCTAATAACTGTCAAATTTCTCCCCTATTTTTCAACAGATTTTCGAACACACACAGGGCAGCAAATAACTGATAAAATTTCAAGCTTGGAGCTGTCAACATACCAGATTTTC